TTCCCTTCACTGGAACTAAGAGGCTTAAACCTGTTCCAGCATGACAATGCCCCTGTGCACAAAACGAGCTCCATGAAGACATGGTGTGTTAAGGTTGGAGTGGAAGAACTCGAGTGTCCTGCACAGAGCCCTGACCTCAACCCCACTGAACACCTTTGGGATGAACTGGAACACCGACTGCACCCCAGACCTCCTCACCCAACATCAGTGCCTGACCTCACTAATGCTCTTGTAGCTGAATGAACACAAATCCCCACAGCCACGCTCCAAAATCTAGTGGAAAGCTTTCCCAGGAGAATGGAGCTTATTATAACAGCAAAGAGGGGACTAAATCTGGAATGGGACGTTCAACAAGCATGTGATGGTCAGGTGTCAAGACCTTTAGATATCAAAATATCTTGGCTGATTGACTACAACTGGGCTAAGAGGAAAAATGATATGAAGTTAACTATTTCTTTCATTCATATTTGATATCTATAAAAATTTTGGCAACCTGACACAATCTCTTTTAGCTGAGGACAACATCATTAACATTCAGCCTTTTGAGATGCCCAAGTGTGTGTTAGTACAAAACAATTGCATGAATATTTCATCGCAATAAGGAGGGTTGTCAAACACAAGATGTGATGGTAGGGAAAAAAAAAGCTTGAAAATGACATCACCTAATTACCCCTTAGTCCTGAGGAGTCATTGAATTGATCATGGAGGCCTTTTAGGCTGCCGTCCTTCAGCCTTTGATATCTGACACTGAGAAGGGTTTTTTTTAGGCTTGGTACTGGAAATGGCATCTGAGACCTGGACGACGGTCGTGACGGCTAATGGGTGAGCAGAAGGACAGAGCAGGACTGGCCGGATGTGCACAGCTTTGAGGAAGACTCATATCGATCAGAAAATCAATAAATCAAGCGCTCAATGCTGGTTAAGAGCTCTTTCCGTTTCCGTCCTAACAAGATTGCTTGGGTAAATTAACGGCTGCTGCTGTCGACTAATTATAAGACGGACTGGTGGCTAGCCAAGGCCGAACTGCAGGTCAAAAATATCACAAATGTAGCTTAACACGTTATATAATTAACACTTCTGCTTTGTAGAAAACATGAAGCCTGATAAATAGGATTTTGACTGGGGCTATTGGAATACATTTACATTTATGGCATTTGGCAGATGCCCCTATCAAGATCGACTTATATTTATCTCATTTATACAACTGAGCAGTTGAGGGTTAAGGGCCTTGCTCAAGGGCCCCAGCAGTGGCAGCTTGGCAGTGCTGGGATTTGAACTTACAACCTCAAAATCAGCAGTCCAACATCTTACCCACTAAGCTACCACTGCCTATGTACTATATATACTATATATATATTGTGTATGTGTACATGTTTTAGGGGTTAATGTGACACTGTAGATATGAAAATAAATTCATCCTTGAGGAAATTCAGCCCAGAATGCCAAGCTTCAGACTGTCAATTTACCACTTTTTGTAGAAATTAAACACTCTAGGTTCTAATTCAACGCTATAAGAGTTAATTCAGCTTTAATAAATACAAAAGGTGTTAAGACTTGACTAAACACTGTAGGTTTTAAGTTACAGCTTTAAGTGTTAATTTTTCTTAAAGAATGGCATACATTTTATACTTTTTGTCCCTTGAAAGTTACATTTAATGTTGTAGAACGTACATGAAATAAGTTTGATCCTGTTGTCACTTACATTATAGCTTGAGCTATAGTCAAATCCAAGACAAGTCCAAGATAAGGACTTGCCGAGATCAGATCAAGGCCATGTCTTAAAGTGGTTGAGGCCAAGTCAAGATCGAGACCAAAAATCAAGTCCTTTTTGAGGCAAATCCTTTACTTCAGATGGTTGGCTTTATTCATGCATTGAGCCAATGATTAGGCTGCTTTCTAGGAAAAGCAATTACTTCTTTTCAAATGTTGTGCATGCGAAAAGAAAAGACAACACGAACAATATTTTTACAAACTTCTAATTCGACAGCAAGACCAAGACAAGTCCAAGTACAAATACAAGTACAAAGCTCCAAGTCAATACAGAAAAAGCCTTGAGACCAGACTTGTGTCAGTCCTACAGCCCTAATTATAGCAGCTATAAACAGTCGTTCCCTCACTCTTTTCTACATTTTCTTGAAGCTGATAAGACAAAAAAATTTAGTTTTTAATGTTACCAAGGAACCATGAAGCACAACTTCCTCTATCCTGAAGACTTTCCCGTGTTGTGAAACTTAAAATTACAGCTTTACGTTTGATTGTTACAAAGCACTGACACTGGAGACTCCTTCCATAAATGCTAAATAAACATGTCCTCTCAGAAAGCAACTTTTTTTTAATGCATTTATATGGAGCGTCTGCTATACAAGTCCATGTGTAAGTTATTACTGTAATAATGATAAAGCATTACAACAAGTGCATTAATATAAACCTGTGATTTGCCTTGCAGCCGGAGCTACTGTCAGAGCTGCTGTTATTAAAAAAAA